ATAATAATAATGTTGCCATTGCTGTATATCGTCGTATCAGGTGATGGTACTTTCTTATATATATATGACAGTTTAACGTCCGAACCGAAAGATAATAACAACGGCGTTGTTCCTACAGATGAATATAGTAGTACCAATAAAACAGATCTGAAGGAGTTTACTACAAGAAGAAGTTATTTGATATCGAAAAATGTAACGACATTATTAATTGATGGTTATTTTAATATTAATTTAACTCAAACCAATAATAGTAACAAGTAAGCATTTTGAATAACTTCGAGCAAGGTTGACAAAATATTTTACAGAGTTTTGATTAGCCATAAAATCTGTAAAAATTATACAATTATGACCTAGAACATCATCGAAAAAATACATATGGTTCGATAAAGAATGTGGTGTGCTCTGGTTTCACAGATTTTATATTTAACTAAAACTCTGGAAAATATTTAGTTTACACTGCTCTTCTGCGCCTTAAAAGGTAGTCATGGTTATGACTAAAATGTCATTGTAGTTTCAATGTGGATGATAAAGAAGAGATGATATTATAACTATCTGAGTTTTGTTTCTGGTAAATAACACATAGAACAACACTGATCCTGTCACTTATTCGGATGGTATCGCTAATCGACGTGATGAAGGAACGACTCAGATGATCTTGTCATCATACGTGTATACCTGACATACTTTTTCTGCATAATACTCCGCTACTAAAACGTATCTAATATTTAATTGTATATTACCTTCCATTTTGACCTCATGGATATTTTCAGTTTGCTGCAACGTCAAAACTCCTAGTTCTTTCAGTCTATATATTACAATTATTGCATATCTACACCGTCCTCCATCTATCTATCGATACCTATATGTATATACCCAAAGGCACCCCTATCTACTGCTACATGCCCCCACGTACCCATAGCCTTTATTACACGACATTTTACTCAATCTCATGCCACCGCCCTCGCCCTGATTCCCAATGTTCTTGTAGATCAAACTTCACTCAATACTGTTGTACATCCTGGTAGATATGAGTAGGTATATCAAGTCTGGATTGCGGCAATGCTATAATATTCAGGTTGCGAGAACGCCAAACTGTCATCCTGTATTCATTTTAGTGATGAAACAGCAATTTCAATTATAACAAGTGAACATTTACAAGATTATATAATTGTTGATCAGATCAATAAAACAACAACGGTTATTCATCATAAATCTTTGTCACCAGTATTAGATCCAATCATTTGGTTATTAACAAAACCAACAATAAATATCCACATTAAATTAAACAAACTGAAAAATGTAACAGTAAGAAATGTTGGTGTATTTGCTGGTGCTATCAACTGTACCACGACTCGTGATGATGACTGTGAACAGTTCTATTTCTCTGCATATTCTGTGAATAATATAACATTAAAACTGTTTGATTTCAAACGATTTGATGCTTATTTATACCATACAGGTGCCACAAAATTTTATGGTCGAATTGATGGACAAGCAACCATCAAATATAACACAACTATTGGTTTTACTGATATGTATGGATTTTATAGCAGAAAAACAGAATTGATTGAGGAAGATTCCAATGACAACTATTATGAAAAATTAAACATGGCAGATGATAGAAACAAATGGTGGTGAACAAAAAGAAGAAACAACAATGGCAAAGAGATAATAAAGCATACATATACTGTACATTCATGAAAATGTTATTATATTTATGTACATTATTCTTAGATAATAAAAAAACGGAACGAGCTTTAGTAACAATTACTGCGACATGCACGCAACACATGTAGGGGCCCACATACCTCCATATGCCACATTCAATTAGTATTTGTAGAATAATCATGTATTTGTGGTTTTTTCGTTAATCTTTCATTTGTGAAAAATATAAAAGCAAATTGCTTATTTAATGAATTATTTAATGAATTCTGACCTCATTTCTAAAACAATCTTACGTGCGTTGACGTAAGTCTATGAAAAAGAACTAAATTTAAACATTCTCTCTAGTGCAAATTATAATCATGTTTTGATGTTGTAACAAACCGTTTATAATATACTGAATATAGTGAAGGCGTCACAAAATGTTGAAGAATGAACACAACACATGTAGGGGCCTCCATATGCCACATTCAATTAGTATTTGTAGAATAATCATGTATTTGTGCTTTTTTCGTTAATCTTTCATTTGTGAAAAAAATAAAAACAAATTGCTTATTTAATGAATTCTGGGCCAATGATAGTGTCAGATAGTAGTCAGAAACAGCTGTTTTAGCAGAAAATACCGATGAAGAAGATAGTCGTGCTACTCAATAGCTGAAACACATTCAAGGATTAAAATCAGAAACTTATATCTTAAACGTTTTTAGTTTTTTGCATATGCCTCTTTCTTAAATGCTTTTTACAGACAATTTTAAACATTTTTTTGCAAGCTTTCGAAGCTTCGCACGTCAAATTTGCCTGATGATGCAACGAGAAGCTTAAAAAGCTTGCAAAAAATGTTTAAAATTGTCTGTATAATTATCTCAATATTAAAGTATTTTAAAAGAAAACACTCTTGTTGAAACAGGATTTGTTCTTAAGTGCTCTATAATCATTCGTTTTTATCTAAGGACCATATCGAAATGTATATTGTATATTGTAACTATCCCATGGATATAGAAACTGTCTCATTCTCTTTTGTTCTTCCATTGACGGAAAGTCCACCTTAGTGAATATACCTGGAGTCGGGTGCCTAAGAGTTTGTGCTTTTTACGGGACATCTGGCTAGGATCCTCATATGTAAATTGAAAAAAAAGCGGAAAATCAATACTTGATGGATTCCTGTTAGGGATCTAAAGTTCGAAAAAATGTAACAACATCCAAATTTGGGGAAAACTGATTGATTTATGTCGGTAAAGAAAGACATCAGGAATAAACAAACAACACAAACATAAAAAAGATAAGAGAAGGAGAAAAGATCTAGAAAAAAAAGAAACTGACACTGTTTCTTGCTAGTTCTTCTCCAATAACAAAGAAATACAAGATATCAGCGATAGGCGCTCTTTCTTGGTAGTGTTTGCGTTTTTCTCCGGACTAGAAATGGCATTGAAGCTAGTTCTTCCCCTTTTCTGCTTTTAACGATTTCCTGTTACAATGGTCAAGGACTGCCGATTATTTCAATTTCTTCGCTTTGCTCATGCGTTCGGTGTCTAATTAGTTAGCTCTCTGCTTGCTTTCTTTATTTTAGATGAGTTTTTTGCCTTGGACAAAAAATAATCGTGATTATCAACGAGAATCTCGTGTAAGAGTCAGAGATAAACTGTTAAATAATGAAGGAGTGGGCTATGAATCAAATAATTTTGACGACCAGCCACGTTTACCACAAACTGAAGAGCAAACAACAACAACAACAGCAAATGATAATCTGAATTTAGACGACGAATACTCAAACGATACAGCAGAAAATCCATATTTATCCAACGATGATGAATCTTTATCTTCAACTGACTCGAGTGAATCAGTTGAACGTGATCCACTAACCATGAACACTTTCGATAAGATTTCGTTATATGAAAACTCTTCACAATCTGTTTTTAATTTATGAAAAAACTTAATCTGCTTAGCTCAACGATTAAATTTAAATAAATCAGGTATTAAAAATCTATTAAGAACAATTCGTCTATTATTACCATCAAGTAATAAATTACCGCGGACTATGCAAAGGTTAATGAGAATCGTTAGTATTGAATCATCACGCAAGGTCAACTATTACTGTAAACAATGCTTAAAACTGTTGAAATCACCACAAGTAAAAGAATGTTCACCACATTATACATTTAATAATCTGAGAAGTATTGCTTTTCTATCTGTTAGCGAAAACTAAGTTGCAGGTTTTCTAGATAGGCAAAAGGAAATGGAGGTAGCAGAAAGAGTAGGAGGATCGTCAGACAACAGACACCTCCTACGGTCCAGTCTCGATAGTCAGAATCAGGGTCAAAAACTGAGTCGACTAATTTGTATTTCGAAATTTTTAGTTGATTTACATTTTTTGGTGAAAATC